TGTGATTCTGTTCCTCCTCACTGCACATGTCTCTCTGGTGCAATATCTATCACTTGTGAACTTGGCTGCTGCTGCTGCTGTATAAAGGAAACCCCCAGCTGTAGAGCTGAGCCTGCAGACATGGTTTTGTGATTTCTTTTTTACTTAATCACAAAGATTTATTTCCTACCCTCTGCTCTCTCTCTCCATTTTGTTACCTCTGCCATGTTGCATGCCTGAACGATACTGTCTGAGTTGCATCTCTTTTGTGACGGATTAAAAGTGACAATTCCTACTTGATGTGCCCAAGTTCAGTGGTTGCCGCGCTGCAAGGGCAGACCTGAGCTTTGCCCTCGCTTACCTGCACTCAGGGGTTTACCCCAGGAACCCAGAACTGCCTGTGAAGGACAAGACATGCCAGAGACGGTGTCACCACGCTGCCACCGGCCCTGAGCCCTGTCCTCACCATCCCCTGCACTGCTGCAGTACAGCCCCTCTGGCTGAGAACTGGAAAGAAACCTTCCTGCTGTGACAGTCAGCACACACGTGTGCTCACAACACGTTCAAAGAGCCGATAGATCACGTTCTTTGAACGCAGGTTAACAGTAATTCCCTATTAAACATTTGCTGCCATTCCTTTCTGACCTTTTACATGAAAAATGAGACGATCCAAACAGGTACATGGGATTTTGGGGTGGCTGGAGGCTCCCTTCCTGTCCAGTGCCATCAGTTGGAACCGTACGAACTCTTGGTTGTGAACTGAAATGTAATCTCACATATGGCTCAAGGTTGTGACCCTTCGGAACGGGTTTACTAGCACTTCCATACATCAGAGCCCTTCCAGCTGTCTGGAGTTACACAACAACATCAGACTGGAAGGGAAATTGTTACTGCTTGTATTTGAAAGAACACAGAACATCTTTATGAGCCACTCCCCTCACTAACTGGCACCCAAAAGTATTTCCCAGGTACCAAAACAGACAAAGTCCACCCCATGAACTGTGGATAGTGTGCAGTTGGACTGCTGTGCTTTATTGGAGAGAAGGGGGTTAATTCTTAGGAAGCAGCTTGATACCGAGCTTAATATTAAAGTGAAGGAGCCCTTGACTTCTAAGGTGTGCCACTAAAGTGGCAGCTTTGGGCTCACCTGTACAGATGTGCTACAGCTCCCTTTGCTGTGGTGCCCAGCACTAAACCAGATGTGGTATTCACAAGACCACTTATGGGATACGGCGAGGGGAACTGCTCTGCCCAGCCCCATTCCTGTGTGAAGCTGGTTTTGTGGCTATCCAAAACCCAGCTGTCACTGTCCTTACAGGGACACAAGCCCCTACTGGCACACAGTATATCTCCCAACTTAGATTCCATTCCTGGTGCCTGCATCAGTGGCTAAACCCCTTTTCACCAGCCGGAGCTGGGGTCCTCTGTGCTGTGACACAGCCCAGGAAGTGCCCTTCAGTTTGCACCAAACCATATGAGACTACACGCAGAGCCTGGCTGTGCAAAGGGGCAGCTCAGAGGACCTTTGCTACTTATTTAACGGATCTAACCTGACTTCCAGCCTTTCCACCCGAAATCTACATTTGAAGGCATCTTTCTGGGAACAAGATGTCCTTTACTTAAAACATGCAAACCACAAAGCAGCGAGCACGCCGGTGGGATTCATACCTCAGCCCTGTGCCTGTGTTAACATAACAGCCCTACAAGTGCCCATACGATACGGTTACCAGTATGTGAGGTAGAATACAGGTACAATACCAGATTGGACTTCTGAAGGTGCACATTCATCTCCTCACCTTTCCAATGAAAGCCTTCCCTTTTCTATGTAGCATTACAACAAGAAACCCACCAACCTTCACCCCTCTGCTGCGATCTTACACTAGGAATAACACATACGTGAAACACGTGGGAAGCTTCTAGACCTGGAATCCAGGCAGGTGACTGTCACATACCTCTCCCTATCACAGCGCACCTCACGCCCGCCAGGGACCATCAGTGCAAACCACGCTTGGGCACATGTCCATCAGCACTCACTGCCATCACCTCGTCTGCCCACACTGCTCCACACTTCCATGCTGGGCTCCCGGCCTTTCCTGGCCTGTTTCCACAGGGACTTCGCTGGTTTCCCCCGGGTTGTTAACGGGAAGCTGTAAACCCCAGCCTGCACCCACCCACAACGGCATCCCTGCTGCAGTTTCAGACTTCAGCCCACTGCTCAGACTTGATACACTCTGGGGAATGGATTTATGGACAAAATCCTCCACTTGTTTTCTGAGGAGCAGTGAAAGAAGCTGCAGTTTGGGTTCCTGACAGCAAAACCTCAGTGTAATAAAACCAACTTGCAATGAAATGATGCAACTTCATCAAATACTTAATAAAGAGCTATGGAAGCCGCAGCATCTTATGCTTAAACTCTATTTCTTTGGCTTTGTTAAAACAGCAAGTGCCTGGAGGTCGCAGCTGGATGGGGCTGGGGAGCCCCTGCTCTATCGCACATGCACCAGTCACTGTTATGTAATTAAACACACCCTCCACACGCTCAGCTTCTGTCAAGTGGTTCCCAAATTGTTCCCCACGATCCCCATGGCACAATAACACCTATGGCCTTCCCAGCCGTGTGAGATCTTGAGGTTCACAGGGGTCATTGTGCACAGCCTCCTTCATACTGAGGGAGGCTCTTCCCCACCAGAAGTGGCACAACTGAAGTGAGGTCAGTGGCTATGCAGTGCTCTCCAAAGAGCTATGGGCAGGTAGAACACACACCCCCCCCGTCTCTCCCAGCTTCCCACTGGCATCACCTCTGTTCCAGTGCAACACTCCACCAGGCTCCCATGAGCAGCTCTCTCAAGTTCCCCAACCCCACAGAGACCACACAGCAGCACCTTCTCCTGTTTAAGCCATTCCCAAAATCCATGTGAATTGTCCATCCTTTTTCTTGTGTGTTTTGTGTCACGGCAAAGTTCTCTGCAGCCCACAATAACATGCATGCCACAAACTAGACACCCCTCCTGCTGCTCCAGACCCAAGTTTCTGTTTAACCATACAAGTCAATGCATTCTAGTAAAGCTGTTTTCATCCTCAGTGGTACAATCCTAATGCTGTTGCACTGTGAACAACTTCTTAGTAACAGCAGTGGAACTAAGGTTGCTTTTCTGTGATGGACTGTGAATGCCTAACTTAAAACCACACACAAACCAAAACCAGTGACAAAACCCCCACAAAACTCTCCAAACCTAACCAAAACCAGACAAACCACACTGTAAGTCACTTCTGATTTAACAGCTCACTTCACAAATACAGTAGGCTCCTCTTCAGCTAATACCAGTGCTTAAGAGAGTTGCAGATGGAATACATAATCTGTCAGCCTTAACCACAGGATACGTAATAAATCATATCCTGGCTTCTAAGCTTCAAACCAAGCACAGCCTACACACAGCACTGATGTGATTTGCATGAATACACAGCAAGTTACCTGTCAAAGGAGTGCTTTAGGATCAAGGACTCACCGAAAGTAGTAGCAAAAGTAGTTTTAATGTGAATGTATAAAAGTGTGACTTTCAAGTTCAATGGTTCACTCTGGTACCGAGTGCATGGGTGAAGCATACCAAGGAAAAGAGGTAGAACTGATTTAGAATGAGACTGAAGAAACAAAAGGGAAAGGGAGACCCTCCCTTTGAGTCAAGCTTCAGACTAGACCCCTGCCTAGCCCAGGTGAGGCTGGACCTAGTCCTAGTCTCAGACCTGGTCAATGATTTCTGTCTAAAGGGTTACATATGTAAGATACCAGTAGAAGGTGATTTTAACATGATGTTGCAGAAGCACCAGGTCACCAGGGGTGGGATTTTGCACAGCTTTTGGCCTAGCAGCACTCTGCAGTTCAATGTGGATCACAAGGTGTAGCAGCACTTTGTAAATGCTAAATTAATCATCTGGATTTACTGTAGTCACAACAGTGACTTAGTTACAGATGCGAGGTGACAACACCCACGCTGCCCTTGCTGCACAGTACCTAAATCACGCACACAGACACTGGGACACATGCATGAAGACATACCCGGTAAAATCCCCTGAATTCGGTGGAATGCTCCCTTCAGACACCTCAGCATGTCCCAGCAGATGAGGGCTGAGGAGTGTTCAGCCAGGCCCCAGCAGCAGCTTTCACTTTGGTCTTCCAAAGTTCCCAAACTTGGCTGGGAGAGGCTTGGTTTAAGCTGAGTACTGCACAGGCACTTCCTCCCTGCCCTCTTCCCAGTGGGACGGCGAGGAGAATCAGAAAAAAAAGGGAAAAAAGTGGGTTAAGAGCAGTTTAATAATTAAAATATAATAATAATGCAACAATAATAATGAGCGAGGAAGGAATAAATCCCACCCCCCCAAAAATAAAGCCAGTACAACTGCTCAGCACCCAGCCTGTGTGCCTCCAGCAGCAATCAGCCCCTCCTAACACTACCTTTTCCAGTCTGGAATATCCCTTAGTCTGCTTCAGGTGGCTCCTCCTGGTGCCCCTCCTCACTGGAAGATGATGGGAAACTGGGAAGTCCTCGATTAGGGTTAGTACTGCTCAGCAACAACTAACATCAGCCTCTTCTCAGTGCTGTTCTCAGACTAAAGCCAGCACACAACTGTCTACCAGCTACTAGGAAGAAAACCAACTGTATCCCAGCAAAAAACCAGGACAGGGGCATCCCACTCAGGGAGATGCTGGTGGCAGCCTGCTGCAAAATCCAGAGGGCTCAAAGTACCCCTGGAATTTTCCAAGTTCCAGTAACAATTCCGCTCGGGCCATGACCAAGGTGAGGAACGTTCCCAGGCAGCCAGGGGATGACTGATTATTCCCACCATCACTTCCCTCCTTAGCCATCAAGTGTCACCCACCTCATTACACCAAGGCCAAGGCCTGATGGGAATTCCAAAGATCCCAGAGCAGCCCCAAGGGAGGGAATGACCCACCACAATACTTTCAGCTGCAATCTGAGAGGAAGAAAGGAAGAAGACAGCACAACATCACACATACCCCACCACCATCTGCTTCAGCAAGTGTCCAGGAGCCCAGGGGAGAAGAGGAACAAGGGCTGCCAAGGCAACTGAGAATAAAGGAATCTCTTGCTATGACCCAGAAACACCATCCAAAATCCTGTTCAGCTTCCCAATAGATGGGAATACCTGCTATTAATCAAGTTACGAGAGCTCACTAATGCTGCCACATAGCTTCTTAGAGACACCAGCCCCCTAAATGACTCTGATTACTTGACTCTAGCAGCTACTATTGTGCTGGAGTAACTCAGCTGTGTTGCTGACTGACATGAGCAAACATCTTCGGGCTATAAGGGAGCAAGCTCCGGGTGATGCTGAAACATCAGATTAACCAGCTCTCTTTACAACAAAAGACTGCAATCAAAACCCACCTTGACATACACATCCTTACTGTGTGCCATTTGCATGTGGCTAGTAAGGGTTTGTTGCCCTTGAGAAACAAGCAACCAACCCCCATACCAGCATGTTCAAATCCCAGATCAATACCTACACAGCCACACTACTCCATAGCCACCCACAGGAGACGCTGCAGGAAGTAATGAATAGAGGTTTCGTTTCTAATTCCAGCCCTGGAACCTGGTTGCTTCATATCCCGACAAGGGAAAAGTCCTACACTATCCCAATGGATTCCTTTTCTGGCTGTCATTAATCACAGCAACCATCCCAGCTGAAGGTCCAGCTGGACAAATACCTGATTTGCAGATGCTGCCAAAGCAGCTTAAGGAGAAGCAAATAGTAGTGCTTACAGCAAATGCACTTGAAAACCCAAGTGATGTGCAGCTCAGGGACCTGTACAGAGGTGATGCCTTCTGGTTTGTTGCACATGAATAGCCAAACAATTTATATCTAGTTAAAAATAAATAGCATCCAGTGCCGTGGGAAATTGTGGTTGGAATTCCGGTGCAAAAGGGATTCCAGGCTGTAGCTAGGGAAAAAAAAATAGACTAGAAAGAACACAGGAGTGCCCAAGCCAGGATCAGGCACCCACTGACACTGGAACATTCCCTCTTTGTGCCCTGCTTTTGACTATACTTCATCCACTTCACACAACGCCAGCACAGACAGACCTTCCAGCTTGTAGATGTTAATGACGCCAAATCCATGACGTATATTAGGACATGATTTAGGGACAGCACAGCAGAGCACTTGTGCACATGAGAATGACAGTTCTAGCTATACTCAATGAGTATTTGGGCACCAAAAACCTACTGGCCATCACAAAAGGCTGAAATGCCTTCAAAAACCTGCCCAACCCCTTTGCTTCAGCAATCTTGAGGACTTTAAATCCAGCTGAATGGGAGGCTGAATTTCCTGCTTTCCTTTCATTCCAGGGTTGACTCCACATAAACCCCAGTCACTGACACTTCTACATAATACCATCAGGAGAAAGGCACCGGGGGTTTGCTATGGCAACCCAACAGGAACTGCTCCTGTTTCCAGCATCTCCAACACAAGGATCCCAAAGATAAATCATCTCTTCATGATTCCACTGATTATTTGCCCAGCTTTTGATTGAGAGCCCTGTTCAAATTCAATTTCTTCTTGCTCAAATGCATCTGCCTTTTTTCCCCTCAATTTCCTTTCTGCCATTTGCTGTGCGTGTTTCATTACCCTGACAGACTGAAGTGCAATACAACATAAACCCAAGACACATCATGACAAATACACTGCTCTGGATCTGGTTTCTGTCATATCTCAACCTTACCAACGCAAGGTTTTGGCTTTAACCTTCAGTGCCCTTCCCTCTCTGCTAATGCTCTCTCAGTGATGTACAACTAGCTCTTACTAAGACCTTCACTTCATCAGGAGCTGGACATGTGGTGGGTTTGCAGGTCTGACCATCTGGGAAACTGAAGCCTTGGATGATGGGTACTGGTGGTTCAGTCAGTTGTTGAAGCCAAGGGAGCCTGGTTTCTGAGGCAGGTGTCAGAAACAGGACTCTGGGAATATAAAGTATGGAACTACATATATTAACAGGGAGAGCAATCAGGTTAACCCTGCAATGTAGTCTTTGCCTAGCTTTTAGATGCTCAAACTGCAATTACCCTTTGGTCAAAGGAGGGGATCTCCTGCTATGCTCTGCTCTGGCGAGACTCCCCCCTGCAATCCTGCATCCAACTCTGGGGTCCTCAGTACAAGAGGGACATGGAGCTGCTGGAGCATGTCAAGAGAAGGCCACAGAGCTGCTGCAAGGGCTGGAGCAGCTCTGCTCTGGAGCCAGGCTGAGAGAGCTGGGCTGGGGCAGCCTGGAGAAGAGAAGGCTCCAGAGAGACCTTAAAGGAAGCTTATGGGAAAGAAGGTGAGAGACTTTTTACGAGGGCCTGTAATATCAGGACAAGCACAGCATCGGTTTTGCCGCATACCTGCGGGAACAGTGGCACAAAGGTAAGGCCTCTGCTCGCTCTGCTAATTCTGACTCATTACTTGCTGCATGCTTTCGCCTTTTCAGGCTCAGTGCACACTGTGTGTTTGTGGGTGCACGTCTGTCCTGGAAAACTGGCCACCCCAGTTCCCATTTCATAGAGCTGCCAATCCTGGAGCGGACAGAGGACACAACCGCTGCGAAATCAGTTCTTAAACAAAAGCAAACTTTGCCCCTCGGCCTGAAGTTAAAGGGTAACAGAGATGGACACGAGGTCCATGCTTGGCAAATACGGGTCGCATGCAGCGGGCAGACTCTGCTGTGCCTCTGAGGATTCTGGTTTGCTGCTGCACAGCTTCAGCTTTAAGGGCTTCTTTACACAGAACAAAACCAAAAGCACCCTTGGAAGCAACCAGAGGTAAATATTTTGCGCTAGTACAGGAATTCCCTCCCTCTGGAGTTCAGGGAACTGGGGAGGTTCTTGTCCCCACAGCTGACAACATTTTCCCTACCAGCCAGTCATTTCCTTTGCTCCAGTGCTCCAGAACAACAGCTTGTAAGAAAAATGTCAAGTTTTAACCAGTTCTGTGTCCTCATCCAGCACCCAGGTGGTTCAGTCTCTAATAGCAATGTCAATAGGAATGTGATTCCACGTTATCTCAATGCCTGTTACAACATGCAGCTCTTGGACTCACTGTTTCCCAATTGTGCCCCAGGCTTTTAAAGATAAAAAGGAGCATCCAGTCCGGATTATGAATTCTCTTTCCTCCCCTTGTATAAAGGGCTTTGTTATTTGAGAGCGAGGCAGGAAACACCTCCCTGGTGCTCCTTTCTTCTACTTGTCACAACAGTGCTGACCCCAACACCCCCAAGGCAGACATCCCATTAATCCCATGACAAGAAGCAGCCCAAGCCAAACCAAAGTGCTCCTCAGCAACAAGCCACGCTGACAACTGCTCTCCTGGCCTAAATGGGGGCAGTGACACTGTGCCAGAAGAATATGGACCAGAGCAAGGGCAAAAGCTCTGTGTTGACGTGCTGTTAACAAGTACAAGCTTGGCGGCACACCAGCATAGGGAAGAAGTGGTAACAGCTCCAAATGCAACCAAAATGCAGATGTCTTTAATGGTTTTGGACTCTGAATTCTCACAGTAATGGAGATGCTGAGGTACTGTTTGCTAAGAAAACCTCTTACAGCTTTTAGAACACAAATTAATCAGGCCTTAAGCATAGGCACAAACACTAAGGAGAGTCAGTATCAGCTCTTCTAAACCAGAGGTTTGGACCAGAACTTGCATCTTCCCCACTGTGGACTCCTGGAAACAAGATCTTGCTTCATCTCTAACTTAAAGCCAAACGACAAGGGCCTCCAGCTTCCAAGGACACCCCTTCTCCTCTGAACGTTTAACAGCTGCCTTTGTGTCTGCTTTCTTCAGCCTTGAATGCAGGATCCAGGAATCTCAGATCAGAGCCAGTTCCCAAATCTCTGCTGCCTTCACGAGCACATCAAACCCCTGGATTACATCTGGTGCTACACACCCAGTACATAAGGATAGTTTTACCATAAACAACTCTAGCATCACCTTGCACTGCTTTCCTGTGCCTCTACAAGAAAAAGAAGGGAAGAAAAGGGATGAAGCCTCTGTGCTACATCCACTCCCAGGCTCCTTCAGCTCTTGCTCACAAAGCCTGAACCACCACATTCCCTTACTCCCGCTCCTTTTGTCAGAGGACAAGTAGCTATCAAACCCAAGCCTACCACCAGTATCTGAACTCACAGTAAGAAGAATGGATGGAAGCAACTGAAGGCACTCTGAGGACATTACCGACTATTCACCACAGTTCAGGAAGTGACAGTTTCTTGCATTTCATATGGAACAACATGGAAACAAACACGACCTTCAGGGAAGTCAGAGGCTTTTCAATGCTTATGGCATGCACAAGTAAGGGTTTCCTAGGAAGTCCAGAGCACAAACTCAGTAATATCCAACAACAGAACATGAATGGCATCTGACAGAGAGAGGCGAGGCTCATTTGACTGCCTCAACTTGGTCAATCTGCAGAAAGGATTGCCACTGGGTTTGCTTGTTGTACTCATGAAAAACGCCTTTTTCTTCCCCGTTTCCCTTTTTGCTCCAAGACTGATGTATATATACACATACATATCCTCCCCACACTGTACCTGTGCCCTGGCATGTGTTTAAATGGCTTTGTTTGAGCACACTTGCCCACATGCTGAAGGCCAGGAGTCCAATGACCCAGCAGTCACTTCTGGGGGTCACCTACAGGCATCCTGTTTGTTCATGGCTGCTGGCTCCTGCTGGCAGAGCAGGAGGGGGCAGGAGGTGACACCCCCCACTCCCCCCAAGAACTCAAAACAGGGGCTCAGCAAAACCTTTCACAGTGCAAATGGGAATGACAGCCTAAACACATTGGAAATGCAACTACAGACCCTTGAGAAACTCCTGGGGACTGAGGGACTCCATTCGATTGCCTCTCCTATAGCTTCATACTTGGTTATATGGGATGTGTATATATATATATATATCTCCCCTTCTACCCCATCAGCTTCAGTGCTTTAAGAACCCATTGGATGTCTTGCAAATGCAAAAGCTCATATCAAGCAGATTCCCTTCTCTGAATGCCACAGCATCCTTCGGATTTGGAAGGCCTGCTATTCTCCATACAGAAGCATTCCAACTCATTCCCAGTATCACACTTACTCCAATACCCATCACTTGAAGAGGTGCTGGAGCAGAGAACCCCAATAAGCACTTTGCAACGGCCTGTGCTCGGTTCCCTCCTGCTCTCATGCTCCCAAGCACAGTATCTGAAAGCTGGGATCACACTCCATGTGCTCTGTGGTTACATGGCCACATCCCATCTCAGCTGCATTAGGGCAGAAAGCTGGGATCACACTCCATGTGCTCTGTGGTTACATGGCCAGATCCCATCTCAGCTGCATTAGGTCAGAAAGCTGGGATCACACTCCATGTGCTCTGTGGTTACATGGCCACATCCAATCTCAGCTGCATTAGGTCAGAAAGCTGGGATCACACTCCATGTGCTCTGGTTACATGGCCAGATCCCATCTCAGCTGCATTAGGACAGGAAGCTGGGATCACACTCCATGTGCTCTGTGGTTACATGGCCAGATCCCATCTCAGCTGCATTAGGGCAGAAAGCTGGGATCACACTCCATGTGCTCTGTGGTTACATGGCCAGATCCCATCTCAGCTGCATTAGGACAGGAAGCTGGGATCACACTCCATGTGCTCTGTGGTTACATGGCCACATCCCATCTCAGCTGCATTAGGGCAGAAAGCTGGGATCACACTCCATGTGCTCTGTGGTTACATGGCCAGATCCCATCTCAGCTGCATTAGGGCAGAAAGCTGGGATCACACTCCATGTGCTCTGTGGTTACATGGCCAGATCCCATCTCAGCTGCATTAGGGCAGAAAGCTGGGATCACACTCTATGTGCTCTGGTTACATGGCCAGATCCCATCTCAGCTGCATTAGGGCAGAAAGTGGGATCACACTCCATGTGCTCTGTGGTTACATGGCCAGATCCCATCTCAGCTGCATTAGGACAGTCTCTGGTTGATCCCCCAGAGCCCCTGGCACTTCCCTGTTCCGATTTATGAACCCTCCTGCACTACCTGTTACCCTCAAAGAACCACTGTAAACTAAAGCAATGCAGAGGGGCTTTCAGAAAAAGCCTTGGACAGGCCAAGACGTTCCCCCCCACCTTGGAACTGTACAAGTCTGGAAGCCCTGGGAAGGACAGGGATCGCCTGCTCCTAGAGTTGCTTTAAAAAGCTGGTTCTTAAAGCCCAAGCAACACTCATGGACCTCAGAGCCTTCACAAGCAGTTTCTCAGGGACACTGCCCCCAGCTCCCGGGTGTTTGCTCTCCTGCTACCAGGGCAGCAGCTCTGCCGACCTTTAATCTCACGGCACCAACACATTTAAACTCCACCACTTCAGGCCCAGCGTGGCCAAGGCAGCCACCAACCATCACACCTCCCACTGCCAAGTCCACATCCCTATGTGCTGCATCCATGTCTTTTAGATACACCCTGGGATGGTGACTCCAGCTGGGCAGCCTGTTCCAGAGCTTGACAACCTTTCTGGTGCACAAGTTGTTCCTAATATCCAGTCTGAACCTCCCCTGGTGCAACCTGAGCCCATCTCCTCTTGTCCTATTGCTTGTTTCTTGGGAGAAGAGACCAACAAATCACCCCAGAGGGTTTGTTCATTTACCTAAAGTTAAAGCAGAGCTCAATGCTTACAGAGGGCTGATAAGAAGGGTTAATATTTAATATGCTCAAGTTCATGTATGTGAAATAGCTGTGAGCAGCAGGAAGCCCTGAGAATACACCACCTCACTCCACCACGGGGAACGCATGTGCTTTTCCCCACCAGAAGGCTATTTCACAACATTCAAACCTAGGTTCCTCTCTGCCTATCTCGGGGGCTTGTAAAGCCCCACAGCCCCCAACAGGAGAACAGGCTCCCAGTGCCCAAACCTGGGCACGGGGGTTGAAGCCTCAATGAATGGCATCCTGAGAAAC